TGTTTTAATTCTCAAACTACAACAGCAGTTGCATATATATGGTAAATGATTTTCTGTGTTTCTGCTTTGGCTTCGTTTGTGCAGTATTCTGGGGTTTTGACAAGGGTGGATGTCTGGGGATTACTATAACAGAATTGAATGATGCCCAGAATATAGTATTATTGTGGGGTTGCAGCTTGACTGTGCCTTGGGATGCCTCAAACCTCATATTGAAAGTATGAATCCTCGGAGAAATGAGTTTTTAGTTTGAGATTTAACTGACCACAGTAAAATGGTCCTTAGAGACCTCCTACTGTGGGCTGGTGCGAAAAACTTAACTATTAGTAATGCTTGGATGAGGGGCTTAATTTATGTAGCACACCTGTTTTGGATAAGAAAAAGAACTTGGGTAGGAATTTAATAACACTAAAAGCAAACGTTTTAATAACACTAAAAGCAAACATTTCTCCCTTGCTGTCATTTGGGGGTGGAGGTGCAGGTATTGATTTTTATGCGTTATGTGGGTTATTTAGAGATCCTTAGTATTCTTCAATGGAAAGGGCCAGGGAGACCGGATCTTCATATTTTCAGTCTAATTGCCGAGGGATTTTCCTGGTCCTCTAGTGAGATCACTTTGGTCTAGGCTCCCGGAACTCACTTCCAAACAATTGTTCCGAGGATTAAAAGGATGAATGCACAGTTGCCAGACTATCTCCATGCTTTTAAGGAACATAGCTATTTTATTTTGGCATTTCTTTTTGTAAGCCACTTTAGTCCTCTCCAAAGCCATGCCTGGGACTGATGGGATTCTTTGTTCAAATGACTGTTGTGGGGTCATTTGTATTAAAGTAGAAGGCACATAGTAGTTTAGGGGAAGATAGGGTCTTAGAATACAAAACAAAATGAGTAAGAAAGTGACTTTTGGGGAAAAAATGTAGTAGCGGGTTCAGGTCAGTGGGGGAGTCTTAGTACACTGCTGACCAGGTTTCTGTCATTCAGCTTGGGATGAGATAAATTAAATAAATGCAAGAGTCAGAAAGGCATGGGACCTTGGAATCCTGGGCCTCTGGGTCCAGGGAGGGGCAGTGAGATAGACTGAGGTTAGATCAATATGCTACCGAATTTTGCTATGCTCTAGCATGGAGTTATCCTTGGTGAAGTTAAATCAGTATAACTCTGTAGGAGGGAGTGAGATGAATGAAAACTCTGATGTTCTTGGAATTTAGTATGTAAAGATTGCTTACTCTTGAAATCAACCAAGTTCCTGTAGAGACCTCCAAGAACAAAAACTATCTTGCTCTGGAACTCAAAGCAAAAGGATATATGTGAGACATCATTCCCAATTATCCTTCTTCCTCCGCACAGCCCTCTTACCCCTGACCCACAAAGCTTCATGAAATTAAAAGCTAGTGTTCTTTCTCACAAAAGAGTGGTGCTGTCCTCTTTAAGTGATAACTTCTGATTTATAATCATAGACCATTAAAATTCAAAGGGCAGCAAATCACACTGCCATGTGTATACCTATGCAACAATCTTCCATGTTCTTCACATGTACCCCAAAACCTAAAATGCAATTAAAAAAAATTCAAAGGGATACTTCAGGCTTGTCTTTGTGGAACTGGAGTTGGTATTTCTGGATTAATGGTGTTGTTCTGGTTTATACTGACTTTTTTTCCTAAAGAAATCACTTTTATGAAGTATTTTTTCCTTTTGGGATGTCAGAAGAAGAAAGCTGGCAAGTAGATTTCTTCCAAAGAGGAAGAAAAGAACTCTTAAGGGATTGGTGATATGGAAAATATCTGTCAGCTAGCTTTCCTGCCCTCTGAACCAGCTGAGTGGCAAGTGGGGCATTTGTTTCCTGCTCTCATTTAAAAAAATTATTCCTCTACTACTTACAGCATATTTGTACAGAGATCTATACAGAAATGAATGGTTATATATACAGATGAAATTGTTTGCTGCCGATCGTTTTGATTTTTTTTCATATATTTGTTTTCCTTTGATTTTGGCCTCTCCCAAAGGTTTCTGCTTGGTCTCCCTTCTGATCACAGGGGCATCAATAAACATGGTTGGTTGATTTTATTCCTGCTTTCATGATTATACCATAATGTCCAGTCAGTCAATTTTTTTTCTGGATCAGCTGACTTCAGGTGTCCCATTTCATTCATTTTCTTCCTTATTCTCTAAGCAAACGGTTACGCCTTTTTTTTAATCTGGTGTTTGCCCCATCCTGTGGCCACTGGCCTCTGCAATCAGGAAGGGTAGCCAAACCAAGAGACTATACAAATGGGAAAAATCCTGTGTCATGTGGTTCTGCCTCTCCATCTGGCAGTCCTTCCTGGGTGCACTGTCCCTGTACTGATGCAGTAGTCCGCCCCCCCCATGGATATCCACAGGGTCACATTATGGTACCCTGATTTTAAACATGGGAAAAGGCACAGTGAATGCTTTTAAATACTCTTGGATCTGAGCAGCTCTGAACTGTGATTATGGAGATAAACTATTCCCTGCTCTATAGTGGAGATACGTGGAGAGGGTCAACCTTAGAGAAAAGGAAACCTAGCACAGTACTTAAGAACTTAGGCCTTAGGATTAAGCAGACAGGTTTGGTTCCAAACTCTACCACTTGCTACTGTGTCACCACTTACAGTTCTGTCATTGTCACTGGTTGTCCTTCACAACGTCCTTTACCTACCTTTTTAGTTCCATCTCCAGGTAATTCTCTTCTGATTGTCTACCCTCTCTTCACCCCTCAACACACACCTGTGCTTTAACCAGATAGAACTACCTGGAAGCTTCTTAGAAGGAAAAACCTCTAGCCTTGTCTTCAGACCTAATGAATTGGAATCTGCACTTTATGAGTATCCTAGGGTACTAAATATTCACATTCAAGTTTCAGAAGTACTGGTCTAGCTGGGCGCAATGGCTCATGCCTCTAATCCTAGCACTTTGTGAAGCCGAGGTGGATGGATTGCTTGAGGCCAGGAGTTTAAGACCAGCCTGGCCAACATGGCAAAACCTTGCCTCTATTAAAAAAAAAATACAAAAATTAGCTGGATGTGGTGGCACATGCATGTAATCCCAGCTTCTTGGGAGGCTGAGACACGAGAATTGCTTGAACCGGGGAAGTGGAGGTTGCATGTGAGCCAAGATAGTGTTATTGTACTCCAGCCTGGGCTGAGTGAGATCTAAGTAACTTCCTGAAGCTTTGATTTTTAAAAGAAATTGGCACATTCTAGCCTGTCTAGCCTGTGACTGCTGATGTGTGTGATTGCCCTCTGGAAAAGTAGGATATACTTGGCAATTTGGCGTATTCTTAGAATAATTTTTTGAATGATTCCCAACTAAACTGTTTCCAAAATAGGTCCTTAAGAAGCTAGTCTTTACTTGGCCCCCTTCATTTCTAACCCTTTGAAATTCACTCTGCTCCTTTGTCCTGATCTTCTGGAAGTTTCTTTCTGAATCCAGAGAAACTCTCCTCACCAGAGAGGAATGATGTAAGCAGGCTCCATTAAATGCCTACTCTGTACAGTGAAGGATATTGTTAGGTGCAGCATGGGACATAGAAGTTCGAAGACTATAGCTCTTAGGGATATTTTTATTTAGTTGGAAAGACAGGACAGAAACATTCAAAGTAAAGTAACTTTATTCCTTGTATTTAGGTAGCCCTTGCTCATCTACCTCTTCTGAAACTTTGCAATAATTCTGTGACGTTGGTAGGAAGGGAACGTGATGTTAGATGAGAAGTCAGATGGCTGGCACATCCATCCCACAGCAACACTGCTGATATTAAGGGATTTGTTAATGTCATATGGCTCCTAAAGAGCTGGGATATGCATCCATATCTTCCAAATCGAAGTACAAGTGTCTTGTTTGTTTGTTTTTTGAGATGGAGTCTCACTTTGTCACCAGGCTGGAGTACAGTGGTGTGATCTTGGCTCAGTGCAACCTCTGCCTCCTGGGTTCAAGAGATTCTTCTGCCTCAGCCTCTCGAGTAGCTGGGACTACAGGTGTGTGCCACCACACCCTGCTACTTTTTGTAGTTTTAATAGAGACTGGGTTTCACCATGTTGGCCAGGATGGTCTCGATCTCTTGACCTCGTGATCCACCCGCCTTGGCCTGCAAAGTGCTGGGATTACAGGCGTGAGCCACAGCGCCCAGCCACTTTTTTTTCTTTTTTAAAAATGTGCCACATCATACTCTGTAATGCCAAATTAGTTTAAAATAAAAAGCCATATAATATGGCATAAGCAATTTTGGTGGTTGTGGTAGTTAAGAGGCAAGAAATCATCTGAAAGAGCTTGGGAAGTCTTCAGTGAAAAAAGATAATTTAGCAGTATCTTGAAAGATGAGCAGGACTTATCTGGGCAGAGAAAAAGGATGAACAATCCAAGAGAGGGGATAAGAGGGAGAAAAACATAGTATGTTCGAAGAATAATGATTAGACCAGTGTCCTCAGGCGATGTGAGATCTGCAATTGAATGTGGCATCTAAACTTCCCAGGTGTGGGAATCAGTGTTTAGGGTAGAGGGACCACAGCTGGTTCCTTCTTTTGCTTCATGCTCTTGCACAGAATCCACTGTGTAGAATTAGGGAGACATGACTTCAGTTACCTGGGAATTAAAGGTGGGACTTTCTAGGCTGGGTCGTGTTGCATGGACTACCCGGCGTATTTTCTACAAGCACTGTATTGCTTGTTTCTTAAGGAACTGTGAAGGTAGATGGTGTGCAGGACCACACACACACACACAAAACACACACCGGCCACACACACCAGCCGACTAAAGAAAGCGGGGGAGATCGAGATCAGTCAGGTTTGATTCGGCAACAAAACCCCGGAGACTGTGTAGGTGACTGCTGCAGGTGGGCAGGCGCAGAAGACTTGGATGGATCCTAGAAGGAAATGGCATTTGATTGGTTATTAGAAGTAAAAAGGGCCCCTGCCAGCCCATAATTAGGACCTGAAAATCTCTGCCCAGCTCGCCTTTGTGACGTGGCTCAGTCCACCTCAGCTATAGAACAGGCCTGAGCGGGCGAGGCCAAAAGACGGTGGCCCCGCGGAGGCGGGAGAGGGGCCATGGCTGAGGCACCTGGAACCAGCGGCGAATCTCAAGGCCACTCAGCCACTCAGCCGCCAGCGGAAAAAACTGTCGGGGGACCACCGAGCTGCGGCCGGCGCTCCGTGCTCAGAGTGTCCCAGCTGGTGCTCCGGGCCATCGCCGCTCACAAAGGGCTGACTCTGGCCACCCTCAGGAAGGAGTTCGGAAACGCCGGCTACGAGGTGCGCAGGAAGAGTGGCCGCCACGAGGCGCCCAGGCGGGAGGCCACGGGCACGCTCCTCCGGGTCAGCGGCAGCGACGCCGCGGGTTACTTCAGGGTCTGGAAGGTTCCGAAGCCTAAAAGAAAGGCCGGGGCGGGCGAGGCCGGAGGAGGGCGCGCGCGGTCCCCGGAGGACCCCAGCCGCGCCCCGGAGACCCCGGAGGCGGCGCCGCACGCGCCTTCGCAAGGCTGCCAGGAAGGCCAGAGAAGTGTGGAGACGGCTCGCGAGGGCGAAAGCCAGGGCCAGGGCCAGGGCGAGGAGAGCCAGGAGGGCGACGCTGAGAGCCAAGGAGCGGCAGGGTGCCAGGGCCAAGGAGGAAGCGGGGAGCACAGCGGCAGGCGGGCGAGGACGGGCCGCGAGGGAACGCCCTAGGCTGAGGTCAGGGCAGGGCAAGAGGCGAAGCTCCAAGCCCGGGGAAGAGAAGCAGGAGCCCAGGAAGCCCACACAGCAGACCATCCAGAAGCCAACGCCGGCTAAAACCGACCGGACATCTAGCGGGCAGGGGAAGACTCCACTAAAGACTTCCTCAAAGACCAGCTCTAGATCTGAAGGTCTTCGGAATGCAGTCAAGAATGCCTCTAGTGGGAGCAGCTTCTCTCCGACCCAGAACCCATGCGTTTCCCCCATAGATCCCAAGAAGAGCGTCTCTCAAACTAATTGAAATGAAATAGACCTCTCGACCACCCTGTGTCTATTTCCTCTTTGCCGCACCTGGAAGGGAAGGGGCGGGTGATGGTAACGTGCAGTGAAGAGAGTAAAGAACTGAGATTCTGTTCCTGCCGCAGGACTCGGAGAAATGTCTTAGAAGTAGAGGAAAACAGAGGAAAACCCGCGGCTTAACACGTGTTAGTTACTCTAGCAAATCCAAATTGAGTTCCGGGGAGAAGGGCATGTTGGGAAAGGAGTGGACAGTCTTCAAGTTGAGCGGTCCCACTGATTCGAAGTGTTAACTGAAATTCTTTTTAGGACAAAGTCTTCCCAGAATTGATTATAATGAGTTTGTACAGTTTTTTGCCTTGAATTGATAGCCTATTTTAATTTTTAAAAATTCTTATGTTAATCCTCAGTTAAATAAATGTGTGGAAAGCATCCAGCACAGGGCCTGGCATAGGGTAGGTGCTCGTCACTGAGGGTTAAATATGTGTTTAATTATTTCCCAGTGGAATGGCAATGTGCTATAGCAGAGAACTACTGGACCAGTATGTAATAAGACCAGGATTCTAGTCAAAGTTCTGCTAGTCTGACCTTTGCGGAGTTATTTCTCAGCCATTCATGGTCTTGGTTTCCCTCTCAGTAAAATGTTGGGATTGGGTGAAGATGATTTTTAGGTGATTTAAATGTCAGTAAAATGAAAAGGGGACTTAAACGTCATGGCATGTGGTTTGCTTGACAAAATTCAGCAATAAGGAAATTATCTTCTGAGAAAGTGCCAGCGCCTAGAGAGGAAATTATGAAGGTTTACAGAATGCATAGCAGAAATACAAGGAGATGGAGAAGGCCAGATAATAGTGTTTCGCTTTTCTTAGCAATAACATGTATTGAGCACTGTGTACCAAGTACAGAACAAATGTATGATTTTAGTTCTGAATGCAGGGGTTCAGAACAGTGCGGGAGTAGTTCTCCTGCCGTAGCTGACAGGATACAGAAATGGTTCCTAGGGAAGTAAAACATCAAAGTTGCTGATTCAAGGAAAGGACTAGCTGTTTTCAGCTGAAGTCAAAGGAATGGGGACATGAAAGCAGCTGGCAAGTGCTTTTTATTCTTTAAGAGGTAAGAGTGGCAGTGGGAAGGTATTAGAACCTCTTGGGAGCTTTCTCCAGGTATACCTGACAAGTCTTTTCCTCAGGAGAGTCTGATATCTCCTACAAGGGGCACCAGGGCATGTGTATTTAAAAGACAACAACAAAAAAACACCGTTAAGTGATGCTAATATTTACCCTTCTACACCCTTGAGAATCACTGCTTTGAGCCTATGCAGACCTAGTAACTGTAGAATGCTTGCCGGTTTATGTCATCGATAGATGATCAGAACTTGATTATTTCGCCATGTTGTAATTAAGTTTATTATGCACGTGAATGTGAGTGGAAGAATGCCTCTGCAAAGAGGCAATGAGAAAATCAAACATTGCCTATTGAACACAATTAGAATAAAGTTAATCAAGTGCCCTGATGATAGCCAGATGTGTTACCCTCTTTATAGTCTTAGGATGTTTTCACCTAAATAACTAGTGAGAGAGGAGACAATTAGAGGCTGACTAGGTAGATAGGGAGAGTCTCAAAAGAGAGAGCACCCATGGGACCACACCTGTACTGCCCCTGTGGTGTAGCTAGCAGATGGAAATGTGGTTAAGAATTTCCTCTCGGCCAGGCGCAGTGGCTCAAGCCTGTAATCCCAGCACTTTGGGAGGCTGAGGCGGGTGGGTCACGAGGTCGACAGATCGAGACCATCCTGGTCAACGTGGTGAAACCCCGTCTTTACTAAAAATACAAAAACTTAGCTGGGCATGGTGGCGCGTGCCTGTAATCCCAGCTACTGAGGAGGCTGAGGTGGGAGAATTGCCTCAACCCAGGAGGCGGAGGTTGCGATGAGCGGAGATCGCGCCATTGCACTCCAGCCTGGGTAACAAGGGCGAAACTCCGTCTCAAAAAAAAAAAAAAAAAAAAAAAAAAAAAAAGAATTTCCTCTTATACCAGGATGTTTGCTCAGAAGGGACTGTCCCAACTTAGGCACAGGCACGACATCAACTAAATATCCTGAACATGACCCAGAGCTAATTGTAATATCATGAGCACTGCAATTTGCCCCCCACCCCCACAGTGGGTTTCGCCAAGGCACTTGGGTAATAACCAAGATGGAGTCACTATGGCCAACCTCAGGCATGCACAGATGCAACACCCCTAGGGAGAACTTTACCCCTCCCATTATGACAGAACCCACAGAAGACTTGGCACGTAAAAATCCCAGAACTCAACTCCATTTCTGGCAACCCACTTTTGAGTCCCCTCTTGCTGATAAGAGCTTTTCTGTCACATAGTAAATGTACTCTGCCTTACTCTCTGGTGTCTGCTTGCCTCCTACTTCTTGGTCATGGGACAAGAACTCAGACCTTGGTAAACTAAGGAGTAAGAAGACTGCAATACTAGGTGGTCTAGAATTAGGCTTTTTCCTCCAAGATAGGATGGGAATGATACTGGCAATTTGTTTTCTAGATTTCCTAAAAAAAAAATAAAAAAAGTCACACATATTTGTTTTATGATGTTTTCTTCATTTCAAACTTTCATTCATTTGGCAAAATGTATCCGATTTATTAAGTGCCTACCATATGCAGGAACAGTAGTAGACAGGAGAGACCCAGACCCTTAACTTTATATAGCTAACAATGGTCATTTCAGATTATTTTTCACTGATAAGCTTTAGGGTGGCTATACTTCAATGAAATATAAGAAATGACCCAATCTCATTAGCAAGCTATCCAGATTATCAAGATCTTAATGATGGCCGGGTACTCTGCCAGAGGCATTCCCAAAAATAGCTCATCTCATCCCTAGCATTCATTCATTGATGACTAAGTGCCTGCAAGATTCTAGGCCCTGTGCTGGGAATATTAAAATGGATAAAACATCTCCACTTTTCTGAGCTCACATTTGAGTGGCACATTTGGGCGTTTAACTTTAGTCAGAGCAAATGGAAGGACCCTGACCTCAGTGCTTTGCTTTCCTTTTACCTCAACTGCCCAGTGTAATGCTGATCACATCATTGTTGGGCTTGAGTTGTAACGAATGTTCGATGTCCTCTGGAACAAATATTCAATAGTTGTTTGAAAAACACTTAACAGAAACAAAAATGTTCTTTAAAAAATATGAAAAGGTTCAATTTAGAAATGCATATTTAAACCATACTAAACATTAATACTAAAAAGATGGTGGTATTTTTAATCAGATGGGCAAATGGTAAGGCTATGGGGAAACAGGCACTCACATACTGTGCTGGTGGGAGTTTTACCATCCCTGTGCCTGCCAGATTTCTAGCTAGTGGACAGTCATGGTGGCTGTGTTTCTCTTTTCCCTTTCTCAGTTCCTTTACCTCCTTCCCTTTTTGTTGATGGAAAAGACCAGACTCCAAGTGGCTGAGGGAAAGTGAGAGTGAACACAAGAAAATAAGGAAACTTTATGAGGCCCAGGGGTAACAAAACAATCTGGCTGAGGTAAGGAAAGCTGCAAGGCATCTGAGCATCATCCCCTAAGCAATAGGCTTGAGGCTGTTTAAGGCAACTCCTGTAGAGGAAGAGCCATGCCTTTGAGTTGCATTCAACACAGGCCCTGCCTGCCCAAGTGGAGGGGCTTTGTCACTGGTTAATGGACAGTGTCTTCCAACCCTATCTGCACACCTGCTTTTCCATGTTTTCTCCCACAACCATTTCCTAACCTATCCTCTTAATCACAAGAGTATCCAGTTATTGCAAACATGCCTAGGGGGTCAAGTCACAGTCACTACCACCACCACTGGGTGGCTCCATACTTGAGCTCAACACTCAGATCTTCAAGAGCAAGGTCAGCACTTGCGGGCCCCTGGAACTGAGGGCCTCCTTAAACTCACATGCTGGGCAATCTCCCTAGTCCTGGCCCTGCTCAGCAGTCTGCTGTTGGAAGTCCTCTCTGGGAACAGATCACCAGCCCAATCCTCCAGCATCTCTAGGTTGGATCAAGTCCCTGGCTGACTCAGAAGCATCATATGGGGGCCAGGATGCCAGAGGGAGGTGAGACCCAACCTGTTGCGTCTGGAGGCTTATGTATCTGGCAGTGAGATGAGGTGGTTCTCCGAAGATTCTGTGACTTATCTTCCCCCATTCTGTGGCAGTCTTTTTTATCAACAGCAGAGCAGGAATGTAGGGAAAGGTGAAAGAGAAGACCTAGAGAAGAAATAAGTGACACAGCTAACACATCTTTTATTCAACTGACGGGGACTGTAAGTCCCCAGTTGGGTAACCCAAGGAAGTTCACGGTTCATCAGAAGGAACCAATTCAGATAATAGCGAGAAATCTGGCAGGCATGGAGCAGTTGGGGTACATGGCAAGTGAGCATTCATCCCCAAAGTTTCCTGGAAGAGGATGCCGAGGTGCCTGATGGCAAGAGACATGGCAGGAAAGTGGGGGGTGGGGAGGGCTTAGCTGAAGAACACACTGAGAGCAGGAGCAAGGATCACATTTGATCTCCCAGGCTTGAAATTGCCAGCGCCTGGCACATAATAAGCACACAAAGAATTGCTTGTAGAATTGAGTTTGATTTTCAGGAGTCACAGGAGACTGGAAGGGAGAACATTAAAAATGGTGAAAAATGGAAAACAACTTTGGAAGTTACATGAAGGGAAGAAGAGCCTCTAGGGAATGGAGTAGAGGGGCCAGATTTGGTGTCTTGTGGGAGAGGATGTGTGAGAAAGGGGCAAAGTGGTGAGGTGGCAGATGAATTGCTGTAGCCAAGCCAAGAACTTTGTAGGAGGAGAGTGGGAAGTATGGACTGGCCACTGCTTAGTAGGCTTAAAGCCGATAGAAAAGAAACTGGACAGCAGGCGAGGAATAGGTAGTAAGTGGGCTCATGATGGAATAGAATTGGCCAGAAGCTTGAAGAGATAAACTAGAATGGAAGAAGGGTGGGAGTTGGAGAGAACAAAAGGTCTGTGATTGCTCAGGCAGAACAAAGCAAAACTCAAACCAAAAAAAAAAAAAAAAATTTAAAAAGAGAAGTAGGGACAAAGTGTAGAGGAAGAATTCTGCCTGTTGGGAAAATGGAGGTGGTGGCAGAAAGAGGGAGAGAGCATGAGGCCTGCGGTTGAAGAAAGCTTCAGGTCTACTCTAAGCTTTTGATCTTGGAGAAGCCCTGTGGGCAGATTTGTAACTGTCATTCACTCTGATCCTCATAGGCGCTCCTGGGAGAGGAAATGGAGGAGGTAGCGGGGCCAGAGCCTCTAAGGCAGATTCCTCCCCACAGCCTGAATCAGAGAGAACCTTCTAAGCAGCAGAATGCATTTTGGGCACCATGGCTTAATTGGTTACAACCTCTACCTAATAAGCAGAGTTTGGATTTAAATCTTGCTTGTGTCACATCTTACTAGAAAAGCCTAGTTCCCTCTTGTGCCCTGGGGACTCTGTGATGCTCCTGTTGCCCTTGCCCATGGGGTGTGCCAGATTATGGTTAGAAATCCCTTCCATGGCCCCTCGTTGGTCTCTAATGCAATTATGTTGGAAAACATGGGTTCTTAAGGGCTTGGCATGACAGGCCTTATTCTACCTTTGTGCTAGATGCCCACTACACGTGCCTCGTATTAGAAGAGCCAGTGAAAAGGACAAAGGAGAATCATTTCCTTGGATGTCAGTTTTTCAGTTTTGCACTGGATTTTCCATCTTTGAGTTGTTTGTTCCTTTCTGTCCTTTCAGATTTCTGAACCCAATTATATTCAGTGCCCATATGGGAAGCCCCAGCCCCAATCAATCATAGGAACTTGGTAGTTGCCCCACCATAGTTTCTGCTATTGGTGACTAGCCCCAGTTCTTTCACTGAGTTAAGAGTGGAAGAAGACCAGCTGGGTGGTGGCTCATGCCTGTAATACCAGCACTTTGGTAGACTGAAGTAGGCAGATCATGAGGTCGGGAGATCAAGACCATCTTGGCCAACATGGTGAAACCCCATCTCTACTGAAATACAAAACATTAGCCAGATGTGGTGCTCATGCCTGTAGTCCCAGCTACTCAGAAGCTGAGGCAGGGGAATCACTTGAAACTGGGAGGCGGAGGTTGCAGTGAGCCGAGATCGTGCCACTGCACTCCAGCCTGGGCCACAGAGTGAGATTCCATCTCAAAAAAAAAAAAAGAGTGGAAGAAGACCTTGCAATTAAGGGGAACAAAACTGTGGCCTACCCTAGTGAGGCAGAGAATAAACCTGAAACAGAAGTGTGAAGATCCATTTGAAGAGTGAGGTACCAATGCCTGAAATATGAATCCCCTAGCCAGTGGTTCTCAAACTTTAGCTTACATTTAGCTTACATAACACATCTTGGAGGGCATGTTAAAAGACTGAATGTTCAGCTCCTTCCCAAGTTTCTGATTCAGTAGTTCCTAGGGTGGGGGCTAAGAATTTGCATTTCAAACAAGTATCCAGGTGGTATTTATGCTGCTGGCCCAAAGACCACATTTTGAGGGCCATTGTTTGGTATTACACACAAGGGAATGGAAGAAAATTTTGCTAGGGTCGGCTCTCTAAGGGATCTAAAGGAATGGATTTCACTTTTCTGTTATTGCCCAGCCCCACCCACTCCCAGTCAATGCAGTCATCCTAACAGAGAGATGGAAAGAACTGGCTTTCTGGCCCCTCTAGGTCTGAGTCAGGACCTGCCCTTGATAGAAAGAGGAAACCATGGTTTGATTGCAGGAATGTTGGAAAGGGAGGAATTTTGTCCCAAATTATCACTTTTTTAGTTCTCTGAAGGCATAACAATACTTTGACAAGGGAAGAGATTTTCCTTCCACAGTTAGAACTAAGGCTTAAAGTGCAAATAGCCTTGTGAAAAGCTAACACTTTGGGTTACATTCTCCTATGTAAGGGGTTCTTTGAGAGCTAATATGTTGGGGTGGAAAGGCGAGGACACTCAGAATAGGGCGGAGGCACCACAGATGGAAAAATGTCACAAGTTCCTGAAGATGGATGTCCGTTTTACATTTTGCCCAACAAGAACATAGAGACTCTTTTTATTTAAAGAAGACAGGGTGGAACATGAAAGTTTGAGGCTGATTCCCTATGGGAAAAATCAGTCAAATTTATTCACTCATCTGATGGCTGTTGCTTGTTTTATTTTTTGTCCAAGGGAGGTGGTGTTGGACCGAGGTAGAAAAGACAGTGGTACACCAAAAACAAACCAAAGGATTGCCCCTTCTGCAGAAGGCCCTTAGACCCATGGTGCCTTTCAACTGGGTGCTATAGTTGTACCTAACTCTGGGGGCTTCACTTTCTATCCCTACAGTTACTAAAACAGATAAAAGGCCAGATGTTAACATGTAGTTCTTAAGAGGCATGATCTAATAGTAAGGGATATCACTTTCCCACAAGTCCTTCAAACAAGATTTATGAGGACCTGATTTGTCTGCATATTTCTGAAAACCATAGAGCAGAATGCAAGCAATACTCTATCCTTATATGCTAATGCCTCTGGTATCTTAGACCTTAAAACATTTAGTGACCTTTGCCTTCTAATTCTGACACAAATATATAATAACCATTTGTCTGTGGAACTCCCTTTCTTTGAAGGTAGTTTAGGGATTTCACAGATGGGCCCTGAACCTGCTAAATGTGTATGGAAAACTGAGTGAATTACAGATGTCTATTTTTCAAAAAAAGTGCACTTCTGTTTCCTCCCAGATTCAACAAGTCTGTACCCAAGACAGGTTCTGAACCAATGCTTACACAGAGCTTTTAGTATTAAAGAGGGAGAGTAAAATAAGCAGCAGAGTCCAGATTTATCAATTAAACTGATTCTCCCTGGGGCATCTCCTAATACTGATACTAAAATGCTCCTGTTTCTGAGGACCTAGGGCAAGTCCAGCCATACAAAGGCCTGCCATTTTGCTTTATTCACAGGAAATAAGCAAGAGAAGTGCATTCCAGGAAGAATGAAGAAGGCAGGCTGCTCTGAGTAGCAGAAGGGAGGTAGGGGCCAAGCTGCTCAAGTCACATACACTCTAAGAAGCCCAGTCAGCAAAATAAGTCTGTTTTCAATTCTAGTTGAGTCCAAGACTCTGAGGAGCTGTGATTCACCCAGTTTTTCCTACACAAAAGGGAGAGTCACTAAACTGTTGCAGCTCACTTCCTCTTGCCTCTCTGGTTCACTCTACCAATTGTGGCTGAGAAATACATCTTAGGGAAGAAAGAGTATCTAAGCATTATAGAGAAAATATCCCACTTTGCTGCTCTTCCTCCCGAACCCCAAACTGCTCTTACATACAAGATAATTTTTAATTATAAGACTGGTATTAACACAATCATTGATAAAGAGAAACAATGACCAACTCATCAAATAATGGATGCTAGAATACTTATGCAAACCCTAGAGTTAAGGGTCTTAGTGTAGACACCTTGCTAGAATTGAAGGAAAACCAACCAGAAAGCTCATTACCCTGCATCAGATGAAAAGCTAAGCCACAGCCATTTCCCCTAAAGCTCTGTTTCTGAGAGAATGAGATCCTCAAGAATAATTCTTCCCCCTCGATGAAGCAATCAAACTCAAACAAGAGTGATGGCAACAACTTGCAAACACAGTAATTCCTGCCCTAATTTTCCAGCACTTAAAACAAAATCCCCACTCAATATGAAGTTTCTATGTGCCTCTTGCTTGAAATCAACAAGAAACAGGTCACCTCCCCAAAGACTTTTCTTTCTCTGCCCAGGTAAAAGCAATCTGCAGCCCAGAGATTCAGACCTAGACATACACATCCACAATTGCTTTGATCTCAGCAATACCAGGAAAGCTTTGTACTCAACTCCCACAACTTAACCTGTCATTTAACCCTTTCCAGTAGTGCTCCCTTAAGCAGACTGCTTTTTGTCTTGAAACAAAATGAAGAAAAAACCCCATATAATCCCCACTACCCTCATCCCCAGAACATAACCCCTGGAAAACCTAGCTTGTACAGTTTGCACATAGCATGCTCTCTTCAAAGACCCTGCACACAAATACACACAGACACATAAAGACAGTTAAGAGGAGAGAGGGGTCTGTTCAAGGGGATAGTTTTTTTTTCTGTGTGGGCCTGGATTATTTGGGGGTATTGGGTCATCTCTTAGCCTTGTAGCATCACTCTCAGCTGGATATATGTATGTGCAGGATGAAGGAAGTAGGAATAAGGACTAAAAAGATTATTATGTTTTTCAGCAGGTTGAGGGTGAGAGGTATAGATGTATATACTGCTGCTTGGGATAAGGAAGACAGACCCACACAGCAACAAGGACTGACCCCCCCAGCTTTCATATGGATCAAAAAGGGGGCTCTGGATGCCTGATCACTATGTCGTTTCCTCATTATTCTCTAACCCAGTGTTCGCCAGAGTGTGTTTCATGGAGTCACCAGTTCTGTGGGATGTAAATAGAAAAGATACTGAGGTCGAATGCATTTAGGAAACACTGCATTAATAGAAACTTCAGTATGCTCTACTGCAGAAATTTTCAGAGCCTTTAATATGCTAAAATGGCCTTTCTCTCTATATATATAGAAAATACAATAGTAACAGTATGCAAGAGTGATACTCAAAATATTTAACAACTGGTATAGCATAGACTCCAACCAATCAGAATGGATTTCAGCCATAAACTGCTAGTACCACGCTCCTGTTGAGAATGGCTCAGGCTGAATATCAGCCCACATAGTATGCACTGCTTCCCAAAAGTGTTGCCCAAAGAACTCTATTTTTATGTGCCATCTCACAGAACTGGTGAGAAATGCTCTGGCCATTGCTGGAACCTCATCTTTCTAGGGATGGGGTCAGGGCTCATGATTCTGGCCACTGGGGTTCAGGAGAATGGCAGCCCTGGCAGTGACTCCTAGTAGCACCGGCTGATAGATTTGACCACAGCTTTAGTGGAAACAGATTTCAAAAGGCAGATGTTCCTCTGTCCCAGCTGTTCCGGGGACTTTGTCCCTGGTGGGTCAGCAGGTGCCTGTCCAGGTGATGTTTTCGGCCAAAGCTCTTCTCACAGCGAGGGCACTGGAAGGGCTTCTCCCCAGTGTGGGTCAGCCAGTGTCTCACAAGGTGGTGCCTTCGGCCAAAGCTCTTCCCACATTCAGTGCACACGTGACACTTTGGCACTGGTGGGGCACGCTGCCGTTTCCTTGTACCAGGGCTCTCGCCAACCTCTTGGCCCTTGCAGGATTTGCCTTCTGCATGCACCCTCTGGTGGCTGGCCAGATGGGAGTTGCATCGGAAATTCTTACCACACTCAGAGCACCTGCTGGGCTTGTCATGTAAGTGGGTTTTCTGGTGCCTGATAAGGTGATGTCTTCGCCCAAAGCTCTTTTCACACTTGAGGCAGCTGTAGGGCCTCTCCCCAGTGTGTGTTTGTTGATGCCTAGCAAGGTGGGAACCCCACACAAACTGTTTCCCACACTGGGGGCATGTGTGGGGTCTTAACAGGGAATCCATCTCTGTGCTACACAGCAGGTTTGAGAAGCTATCTTCCTGAAGAAAAGGGGGCCCCAGGAGCATTCCTCTGGAGCTCCTGGGCATAGAATCCCAGTTCTCTTCATGCTCCGGGTTCCAGAGAATGGTATCTTCAGACACGCTGGATAACATTCTGGGAGGTTCTGCTTCTAGTTCAGGGGTATCCACCTCATGTTCACTTCCATCTCCTGCGGAGAAGGGGAAATACCAACCCCAAGAGTCACAAAAGCGTACTTGAGGCCTAAGTCACAAATGAGGTTGTCTGATGCCTGCCAGGGCCCAGACCTGACCCCAGAAGGGTTGAGAGAACATAGTCTAATGTCATATAAGATAGTGCAATAGACATACAGGTTAAAAGCCTAGCCTTAGGAGGCAGATTACCCAAGATGGAATCTCAGATCTCAATTATCCACGTAACTTCTCTGAGCCTTAATTTCTTCTGTAAAATGGGAGTAATACCTCTCTCAGGTGGTTATAAGACAGCTAGCACAGGGCCTGCACATAGTAAGTACTTAGTAAATGTATATGTCATTGTTTATTTACTACTATATATTACTATTAATCACTATCTTTCTATCCAAGCATAGATGGGGAGAGTTCTAGAATGTGCTACAATTGTCACTGGCTGAGGGACACCTGTCAGCAATCCTTAAGACGCTGTGGAAGGCATTCCTGAAATGGGTGGGAGGTTGACGACAACAGCAACAGGAACAACCACAATTCACGTTTATTGAGTGCTTATGATGTGCTTGCCACTGTTCTACTGGTCTAACATTCTAATATATTCGTAGATTTAATTTTCACAATAATTTACAGATGAAGAAACCAAAGGGACTCTTCCAAGGTCCCACAGGTACAGTCCAGAATTCAAATCCACAAAGTGCCCACTACGCCATTCTGTTACACTCCCTTGAAGAAAAGAATCTCTAAACCTGTTGTCTCTGGAACTCTCTGAGGCAGAGGAGGGATTAGAGGAACATGGGATTATGATGCCCTGAACTGTGACGGCAGTGGCTGAAAGCCGGTTCTAGGTTCTTACCTGTATATGTGACCCTCAGAATGTCCCTCTCCTCTAAGTCCTGGGGGTCAGGGACCCATTGTTCTTCTCCTCCTTCTAGTTGAGAAAGCAGGTCCAGTTTAGGAATTGGAAATCCTGCTCATGGGAAAGGAAAATATAGCTGTCAATTAGTTCAACAGCAATTCTAGATTTCTGGAAAAAAAAAAAAAAAGAAAAAAAAAAAGAAAAAAAGCTGTCTCCTAGATGATTGTTTGGAACTCTAGACAAAAGAAGATCAAGAAAGAAACATCTCCCTCCCTCAGCCTCTTTTCCACTGATTTCTGTTAAGTCCCTCTTCTCTGCCTAGAAAATCACTCTCCTTCCCCATGAACTCAGATACTTCCAGCCCAACTGGCCTTTCTGGTCATAACTTCACTTTAGTCCTACCCCCTGCATCCCTGTCTTCCTCTATATGGTTTCCAAGTTTACAAGGACCCAGTTCCAGTTCTCTCTGCTTTGTAAGAACCTCCTAATTCCCAATCAAGAAAAACAAGTTTTTTACTCCACAATTCAGCATCATTTGCTTTTTTTTTTTTTTTTTTTTTTTTAAATGCTTTACTCTCATTCTCTTGGGATTGGCCCTAGTGTTCTTTCTTTGATGGAAGCATAGATAGATTCCCTGCCATAGAAAGAGTCCTACAGACATTATTCAAGATCCCTGAAGCAGATGACTCCGTCCTCCCAGAGCACAATCTTCTAGTGGTTGGGGAAGGTCATGCTTACTCAGAGAGACTACTATCCCACAGTTTTCCTGCATGACATATTCTCCATAAAAGTCTGTCTGAGAGGGGTCCAGGCTCCGCCACTCCTCCTGAGAGAAGCACAGTGACACATCCTTGATGGTTACCAGGCCCTGAAACAAAATGTAGCATCTTCTGTCAGCAGCTGTTTTTTTTTTTTTTTTTTTTTTTTAAAGGAAAATGTGATTCAGCATGAAAGGCTAAGTTAGTAGAGGAGAAAGGGTGAGAAATGATCTGAGAAAAGAGCTGCCCAGAAGCCCCTGGGTAGGGCACATAGTTTTGGTAAAGAGGAAATGAGGAGAGGAGTGAAGATTAGATGGTCAAGAAGTGAGTGAGGATAATGTTAGCAGGAGAGAAGCTGGAGGCACCACAAACTCATCACACCCTCTGCTGAGCTACAGGTGTTTATTCAGTCACTTCTCCCTGGCCTTACTCTTTTTATGAAGAAATTACATATCATCTCCTCCTTCCTCCACTGGACCTTGCCTGTTCTATCAGCACAAAATGCTACAGATAAAACATTCTTTCTTAGCTTTCTCACCACAATATATCTTTTTTTTTTTTTTTTTTTTTTTTTTTTTTTTTTTTTTTTGAGACAGAGTCTCACTCTGTCACCCAGGCTGGAGTGCAGTGGTGCAATCTCAATTCACTACAACCTCTACTTACTGGGTTCAAGTGATTCTCTTGCCCTCAGCCTCCTGAGTAGCTGGGATTAAAGGGACCCACCACTACGCCCACCTAATATCTTGTATTTTTAGTAGAGATGGGGTTTCACCATGTTGGCCAGGCTGATCTTGAACTCCTGACCTCATGATTCTCTCACCTCGGCCTCCCAAACTGCTGGAATTATAGGCGTGAGCCACTGCGCCCAGCCATATCTTTATTTTTTTAGGCAGCACAGTTTGGTGGTTAGGAACTCAGAATCTGGAGCCAAGTGACTCAGCTTTCTCACTTTCTGGCAGCAAGACCCTACACAGTGCCTTAATTTCTCCCTGCCCCATTTTCTCATCTGTAAAATCGGAAAACTGAGTTGTTTTCAGAATTAAATGAGTTAATATATATAAAGCAGTCAGAAAATGGCATACGTGTTAAGTCCTCTGGGGGTGTACTATTAGCACTAATACTATTATTATTAGCTTTCCACAGCTCTCCTTTGCCTTCTGACTCTAAACCTATTTTCCTTCCTGGCTTTGCCCCTCTTTACATCCTTCTTCCTCTTCTTTTCCATAAACGCTCCATCATCTACCCAATCCTTCCACTTTAGGTTCTTCGAAGCTTTCTTCGGGTCCTCTTTTTCTAATCTTTCCAGATGTATTTCTTAAAGGTAATTAATTATTCCTAAAATCCTCCTGTGGATAACACAGCCATCAGCCATCATTAAAAACCCTAACCTTGGCCAGGCACGATGGCTTACGCCTGTGATCTCAGCACTTGGGGAGGCCAATGTGGGCAGATCACCTGAGGTCAGCAGTTCGAGACCAGCCTGTCTAACATGGCAAACCCTTGTCTCTGCCCGAAACACAGAAATTAGCTGGGTGTGGTGGTGCATGCCTGTAGTCCCAGCTACTTGGAAGACTGAGGCAGGAAAATTGCTTGAACTCAGGAGGTGGAGTTTGCAGTGAGCCAAGATCATACCACTCTACTCCAGCCTGGGCAACACAGTGAGACTGTCTCAAAAAAAAAAAAAAAAAAAAAAAAAAAAACCCAAAAACCCTAACCACAAGGAATTCCCTGTCTTCTTGTGGCTCCATTTACTTTTTCAAGGGTTTTATGAGCCCCTTGGAAAGGGATAAGAATCTATTCAGTTATAAGATGAACATACCATTGATGATCATGTGAGCCAACTCATCAATGGGATGATGCTAAAGCAATAGAAAGGCAGCAGTGATGGGACCACAGGAGAGGCCAAGGAAAGCAGAGCTCACCTGTGATCCAGCTGCGAGAAGTGCAGCTGCCATCTCCCAGTCTCCAGTGTTCCCTTCCTGGGGAATTGCAGGAACCCAGGGAGCAGACTGAGCTGATGAGGAGAGGGAAGAAACATTAGACATTAACTATCTAGCCTTTCTCAATAGGGTCTGGGCCCTATTTTGGAGAAGCTTAAGGGTCACATCTTCTGTATCTATGCCCATTGGTAAAACTCAAATGCATAAATGTAGATGAGAAGGCTATCACTCAAAATGTTCTAAGAGGGTATCAGATGGCTTTTAGTTAGACTAGCTATAGTTTGAATTTACAGTACTTGAATGTCATTGTCATCTAGTAAAGTGCATCTTATGAGTGAGTTCTCGGTAATCAGTGTTGCTGTCGCTTCCTTCATCTCCCTCATTCAGTATCACTAATTATGCATTTGCATGTGGAGGGAGTAGTTATGAAGACACAAGAGAAGCCCAGTTGCGTGGTTGGATCAATTCAGGAGCCTATTCTGTACCGGTGCAGGGCCCAGAAAGAACGGGCTGGTCCTGTTCCAGGCTGTGCTATTTAGTCCATGGCAATCTGAGGATTTTTAACCCTACTTTTGGAACAAATATTAGGAGACTATGCACTGTGCTTCCCACACACTCCATAGGCTCTCACCCTTCTCCTGAAGGGACTGTGGCTCCTCTTCAAGGTCACAGCACAGGTGCTCCAGAGGACCTGGGGCTGTTCTCCATGGTCCCTCTTCCTGACTTCCCCTTTCCACCTGGGGTTCTGTTCCATCCAGCTGTACATTCATTGATTCCCATCCTGTCCCCAGAGCTGCTGTCTGTTCTGAAAGCATTTTTGCTGCAGACCCAAATTGTGACCTGGAATAAATTCATAACAGCAAAGCCCATGAAAATGGGAGAGGAGTGATATTCCTAAGGGACTTATGAAGAACAGGCCCAGGGATAATGGATGAAACGAAATAGGAGGAGCTTGCTGGAAGATGAACTTTAAAAGCTTGATGTGTTCCAATCAACTGACCCTGCACCAAGCTTCTCGGAGGAACTAAGAAATTGGCAGGTGCTATGCAGCAAAGCCACTAACTGGTATTTTGTGGCCCTCATGATAGAACGAGAATATACTTGAAGGTTAGAAGTCATTCATTTAAAAAAAACTTGACTGTCCTGGAAATTGAAAGGCTATCCATTTAACTTCAAGCACATGAAGTACCGGAAAGTAAGCAATTTGGAAACATACAGGAAGAAATACACACAGACCTGTATTCAACAAGATGGGTATAATCACACATAAGATTTTCTGCAAATCATAGCCTCACTGGTATAGAATGAAATGATTACTATAGGTAGAAGTCCCAACCAAGGGGTGTATGTGTATCATGAGCACACACCTCTTTCATGAGGCTGAGCCAAAAGGAACCTCACTTGGAACAAGCCTCAACAAAAAAAGCACGAAGTCTATTCATCCAATGAGAACTGAGAGTAAATACTTAAAAAAAAAACAAAAACAAAAAACAATAACTTGGAAAGCAGGTGTAGGACTCCAAAGTAACCCTAACAGATAAGAGAAATTGTTGGTCAGTAAGGAGCTGAAGTTTAATCAGGCAAAGTAAAAAAGAACAGAAAGAGTTTGAACCAGAGCTGGAAAAGGGGGCAAGAAGTGCTGCTAACAGGACCCAGAAGAACAAACCTGTTTATTTGGCAGGCACCAGTCAGATCTCATTAGAAAAAATATACTCAGTTTGAAAGAAGCATATGAAGAAGCCAGTATGTGTTCATCAGAAGACATGAAAGTCAAGAAAGGGATGGGAAACACAGCCATTGGAAAAGTTAAAAATGTCAGATGTAGTTTTCTGTGTCTGGAGAAGGCTGATGAATGACGATACTAATGAATAAAAACAGAGGTGCCTTCTATCTCTATATAGGTCAAACAGAAAAAATGGGTCTTGATTGCAAAAGAAGAGATTTAGGTTATATTTTTTTTAAAAAATTCTTAATAATCCTGCAGTGTGCAAAACCAGATAGTGGGCTCTTCTCTTCTTTGGACATCTTAAGAGCAGGATAGGTCACACTTCTGTTGTGATAGGGGCCTCCCTGCCTTATGGCAGAGAAATAATCTATTATGAGACTCTGAGAATCTGTTTGGCAACATATTTTGGGTATTCTTATTCAATACCCAAACAGTCAGAGCCAGTGAAAGGCTTCCAAGAACAGTCAGAAACTCGGTGACTATCCTGGCTCACTTATATCCATTCAATAACATTTGCAAGAACCTTGAAGGCCAGGGTAGGTAATGACATATGTCAAGTCATCTATTTTCTTGCCTATTGGTCTTTGACAAAAGTGGTAGGTGGGAACCCTAAGCCCAATGCACAGGAAAAACAAATTCCCCTTTCATCTCAGAAGTCCAAGGATGGCTCCGGGCCTCCTGGGAGCACCCTGGACTGATTCCCAGCTTAGGAGGTTTCCTCTTCAGAGAGATTTCTCATGAGAAAGGAAAACTCTTGCTAAAGCAATAAAGGGAAACTTCCATTTTAGCTCTCTGCTATGAATTCCAGCCCGGTATCCACTTTTAACACACAGGGCACTAATTCCCCCTCTTCACCCCATCTTTCTGGTTCTCTAGCTCCTGTGCAAATCCTCCTTGAAGGCTTTACCTCTAGCTACATATCTGGACACTTGTCTTAAACCCTTTCTCCATCTCCCTAAATAGCGGAGTCCCTTAATGGGAAGCCTCTTTCTGCAGAGCCCACTGGGCCAGCTGTGAGCCTTTCTATACCATTGACAGAAATCCGCGGAAATGCTAGCAAAAATCTCAGCAAAGGATGAGGTACCTGTTCTCAGCCTGCATTTCCTAAGATGTTCATGCAGAGCCAGCACCTGGGTGGATAAGGTGGTAGCCCTAACCTCGTTTATTCCAGAATGATCCCATGCCCACTGCAGCCTGGGTTCTAGGGCTTTCATTTTCCCCCTTTCTTCACAAATATGGGTAGCAAAGGACCTGCGAAAGGAAGTTTTTGCAGCCAATGCTGACAGAAAGAAAAAGGGCCATGCTATAAAAATGAGTAGCCCAAGGGCACAGGGACGAGTTCTGCTCCATCCATCAGAGAACCCTGGCCCCTGCCACTGGTGGGGCACGGTCATGGGCAGGACGGGAGCCTGCTCAGGGGTAAGGTTGCTTCTTCCCTCCTTCTTGTCACAGTGCCTCTGGAAAGGGTCAGATTTCAGAGAATCCGAGTAAGGCAGAACTGGAGCAGGGGAAGTGAGGTCAGAAAACAGGTTTCCCGAGCTGGGGCAGGAGCAAGTGAGGAGAAAGGGAGCCAAGGGGTAACTGTGCGCGAGTGACAGCGGCGGGAGCCCGCAGGGCTTGACAGCTGCGATGGGCACAGGGAGACAGGGCGACGGGCAGGCACAGAATGTCAGCGGGGCAGATCCCCGGGAAAGGCCAGCAACCCGGAAGCCGCGCCGATCCTCCTCCCCGCCCCCATGGGTGACCGAGCCCCCACCGGCCGCCCCGGGAAGCCAGGCGTCCCTCCCTCCAGCCCCGGCTCCCTCCTGCCCGGCCCCACTCACCCACGGTCGGCTTGGCCCGCGGCCCGGTGCCTCCCTCCCGGGCGCCTCCTGCCCCTCCCCTCCGCCCTCCGCTGGTGTCTGGGAGCCGGCGGCCGGCGGAGCCAGCTACAGGCGGAGACAGCGGCCCGGCGGGTGCGGGCGGGGCGGGCACAGGAAATCCCCGCCCGCTTCCGGGGCTCGGCTGCGGCGGCGGCGGCGCGGGGAGTGGGAGGGGGGAGTGGGAGGGAGGGGCGGGGAGGGGGGAGTGGGGGGGAGGGGCGGGGAGGGGGGAGTGGGAGGGAGTGGGGGGGAGGGGCGGGGAGGGGGGAGTGGGAGGGAGGGGCGGGGAGGGGGCGTGGCCGCAGCTCGGGAGCCCCAGAAGGAGCAATACCGGGGACCTCCGAGCCCGCTGCTGTGGGGAGGGCACGGTCCGAGGAGCTTGGAGGGCAGCGGGCGCCGGGATCCCAGCCTGCCGTGGCCACTCGCCCGCACTCTTGCCTGACTGACCGTTTTCCGCCCTGGCTACTGGGCCTCCCAGGGAGTTGTGTCCTCAGGAGTTCATCAGTTACCTGGAATTGCAAAACGGCTCGTTAGAAGCCAGACAGAGGCAGATAGCTGTTTCTCCAGACAGGAGTCTGGAACTCCCCAAGGAGCCAACCCTCTGGTTTTCACGATAGGATAAAGGGCTTGAGACAACACTGAGGCGGAGTCCCTGATTCTGCCCGAGGGGGAGTCAGGTTGCTATCTGAAGTAGGCCTTGCAGGCTGCTTTGTCCCATCTGCAGAAGCCGTAGCTGCAGGTAACACCTGAGCTCTCGAAATGTGGCTGGTCTGAATAGAGACGTGTTCTAAGATTTAGAAGATTTAATTTAAAAAACGTAAAGTAGCTCAAGAGTGATATTTTGGGTATACTGGGTTAAATATTAACATGAATTTCACCTAGTTTTAACTTTCTAAATGTGGCTACTAATAGTTTAAAAACTACAAACATGGCTTGCATTATATTTCTATTGGATAGTGTTATCTTGTTGCATTAAGATGGATTTGACTGGAGAAGATGAGAAGGACCTACAAACTGAGTAAACCCATTACCGTTAGAATCTATTTATAGCCTACAAGTCACATTCACATTCCTTATTTAATCATTACAACAATTTTGAAAAACTTTGTTTAGTAGACTTAAAAAAATAAGTGACTAGGCCGGGTGCGGTGGCTCACGCCTGTGATCTCAGAGCACTTTGAGAGGCCGAGGCGGACAAATCATGAGGTCAGGAGTTTGAGACCAGCAAACTCCTGGTGAAACCCGGTCTCTACTGAAAATACAAATAATTAGCCAGGCATGGTGGTGGGCGCCTGTAATCCCAGCTACTTGGGAGGCTGAGGCTGGAGAATTCTTTGAACCCGGGAGGCAGAGATTGCAGTGAGCCCAGATTTTGCCACTGCGCTCCAGCCCTAGAGACAGAGCGAGACTCCATCTCAAAAAAATAAAAAAAAAGAGGGACTTACGTAAGGTTATATATGACAATCATTCCTTTAATACATATTTATTTTCTACATGCACCAGACACTGTAACTAAATGCTGGGAACTAAAGAAAGGATTCACAGTCTGGGGAAGTACGTATCAACAAATATTTGCAATAAAACATAATAGATGCTAAAACAGAGGAATGTACTCTGCACTTGGAGCAAAGAGAAATGACCATGTATGGGAGGGAGGTCAGAGAAGGCCTCCCTCCTACAGAAGTCGTGAGGCAGAGAAGAGTGGGGAGGGTTCTCTAATGAAAAAGAGGAAAACACAGTAGACATACAGTTGGGGAGGGTATAGAGCATATTCTAGGAGCAGATCATGGGGTATGTGGTGGGAGTAGTAGTTCTAGAATTTTTATCCTGGGTCCTTGAACTAAGTCTAGGGGTTCTTTCCACATATGTTACCACTGGTGATAAATATAAGGTGTGTTAATTGGGGTAGGCTAGCAAAACCAGTATTTCGGGGCTTAACTCCACAAAGACGTATGTTCATACAAAGTCACAGTGTGGTAACAGGTTGGTTGGGGCCAGAGGGTGGGGTCTCTACTTCTTGCATTCATTGAAGGACCAGACTTCTTGCATCTAGTGGTTCTACCATGCCCTGAAGCCTTAGCAATGTAGTCAAATCTGTGGCCCTCAGATAAGGGAGGCAAGCTGTGGTTACCTTGTCAGAGATATTAGGGACAGTCCTGGAAGTGGTGTGTGTCACTTTCACCCCATTCCCTTAGCCAGAATTCATGCATGTGGTCACAAGGCCCTACCTAGCACGGTGGCTGGGAAGTATAAAGTATGTGTGCCTAGTAGAAAAGGAATGGGGTCTGAAGGACACAGCATTGCCTCTGTTACAGTGTTAAATGAACATAATCAAGTACCTATACCTGACTTTAACTGAAAGGAATGTTTGGAAAGAACTGATAGATATTATAATAGCTCAGACTCTCCTCAACTCTTTTGGGAAACAAAGCAGTGTGAGATTGTTTCCTTTAAAAAAAGGAAAAGACTAGACATGGTGGCTCATGCCTGTAAGCCCAGCACTTTGGGAGACTGAGGCAGATGGATCACAAGATCAGAATTTCGAGACCAGCTTGGCCAAGATAGTGAATCCCCATCTCTATTGAAATATAAAAATTAGCCAGGGCATGATGTTGGATGCCTGTAATTCCAGCCACTCAGGAGGCTGAGGCAGGAGAATCGCTTGTACCTGGGAGGTGGAGGTTGCAGTGGGCCAAGATCGAGCCACTGCACTCCAGCTTGGACAACAGAGTAAGACTTCGTCTTAAAAAAAAAAAAAAAAAAAAAAGGGGGGGGGGCAAAATGGTATGATTTTCTTTATACAAGAACCTTTTCTTTTTAAAAATAGCTTTTGTAATTTTAAATTTGTGTAGTTACATAGTAGGTGTATATATTTATGGGGTACATGAGATATTCTGATGCAGGCATGCAATGCATAATAACCATATCATGCAAATCGGGGTATCCATCCCCTCAAGCACTTACCCTTTGTGTTAAAACAATCCAATTATACTCTTTTAATTTCTTTAAAATGTACAATTATTGGCCCAGCACGGTGGTTCATGCCCGTAATCCCAGCACGTTGGGAGCCCAACATGGGCAGATCACAAGGTCAGGAGTTCGAGACCAGCCTGACCAATATGGTAAAACCTCATTTCTACTAAAAATATAAAAATTAGCCAGGTGTGGTGGTGTGTGCCTGTAATCCCAGCTACTCAGGAGGCTGAGGCAGGAGAATCGCTTGAACCCAGGTGGTGGAGGTTGCAGTGAGCCAAGATAGTGCCACTGCACTCCAGCCTGGGAGACAGAGTGAGACTCTGTCTCAGACAAAAAAAAAAAAAAATAAAAAAATAAAAAATAGTACAATTATTATTGACTGTAGTCACCCTGTTGTGCTATTAAATACCAGGTCTTATTCATTCATTCAAACTATTTTTTTGTACCCATTAACCATTCTCACTGCCCTTATTCCCCCATTACTCTTCCTAGCCTCTGGTAATCATCCATCTATTCACTATCTCCACGGGTTCAATTGTTTTGATTCTCCAAATAAGTGAGAACATGCGATGTTTGTCTTTCTGTGTCTGGCTTATTTCGCTTAACATAATGACTTCCAGTTCCATCCATGTTGTTGCAAACGACTAAATCTCATTCTTTATTATGGCTGAATAGTGCTCCATTGTGTATAAGTACCACTTGTTCTTTATTCATTTATCTGTCGATGCATACTTAGATTGCTTCCAAATCTTGGCTATCATGAATAGAACTGCAACAAACATGGGAATGCAGATATTTCTTTGATATACTTACTGATTTCTTTTCTTTTGTGTATATACCCAGCAGTGGGATTGCTGGATCATATGGGAGCTCAATTTTTAGTTTTTTAAGGAACCTCCAAACTGTTCTCCCTAGTAGTTACTGCTAATTTACATTCCCACCAGCAGTGTACGAGGATTCCCTTTTCTCTACATTCTTACCGGCATTTGTTATTGCCTGTCTTTTGGATATGAGCCATTTTAACTGGAATGAAATGGTGTCTCATTGGTGTTTTGATTTGCATTTCTCTGATCATCAGTAATGTTGAGCACCTTCTCATATATCTGTTTGCCATTTGTATGTATTCTTTTACCATTTGTATGTATTTTGAGAAATGTCTATCCAAATCTTTTGCCTATTTTTAATCAGGTCATTAGATTTTTTCCTGTAGAGTTTCTTGAGTTCCTTATATATTCTGGTTAGTAACCCCTTATCAGATGAGTAGTTTGCAAATATTTTCTCTCATTCTGTGGGTTGGCTCTTCGCTTTGTTGATTGCTTCTTTTGCTTTGCAGAAGCTTTTTTAACTTGATATGACCCCATTTGTCGATTTTTGCTTTGGTTGCCTTTACTTGTACAGAACCTTGTCTTAAACATCACAAGGAATAAGTGCAGAATGTCTTTATATTATGCTTTGGTGTGCCATCTCTTTAGCTATCAGTTAAACTCTGCAAGGTGTGGATCTGCATCGGTTCAGGGACATTAAGTGAGCCAAGAGGCACAATCAGAAATTGAGCCCTGATCTGACTTCTCATCTGGTGCATCTTTTACCTGAGTGGTACCTTACCTTTCACAGAAATTTTATGGATAAGTACAACTCCTATGCAGTGTTGCAGCAGGGATTAATTAAATATGCATTGAGTAGCAGGCACATGATTCCATCTTTTTCAGGCTTTCTGAAGTGGAGGAGTTACAAGATTAGCTTTGAAGGTGAAATGTAGGCAGGGCATCCCATATAGCATCAGAAGGCGGAAATGTACACACTGTGGCATGTTGTGGAATGAAGAAGACACATATTTGGGGGTGTCAGTCTAAAGTAGAGAAGAAACAGGGAAATTAATAGAATAGTGGATGAAGTTAGTGGATGAAGAATTTTTTATTTGCTTTGTCAGGTGATTGATAGGAAGTCATTATATTTGTGTTTAAAAGGAAGTAATACCCCTGATGGTGCTAATTGTATCATTGTAAGAAGATTTGTTGGTCCTGGGCTGCTCTGTTGATGGAATTCTGGTACCTGGGATGAGTCGGGCACACAGGTGGATTCTAATGTGTGGAATATAGAGTTCCCTGGG